AAAGAGGAGAATTTCTTTAGGGTGAAAATTTCTCAAAAAACACTGACTGATATAAAAATTTCGATTTTCTTAAAAATAAGATCAACACCTACTTTTCGAACCAATTTTGTTTTGGCCTTATATTTACTTAAGGAATTATTGATGTTTGATATAGACACAAAATTTTTTAATATTTTTTAAATTAGACACTTAATATAACCCCAACTTTTACCAATCAATCAAATTAGAAACTTAAAATTTAGTGACTTTATTACAAAACATAATATTTAAAAAAAGAATGGATAAGACATAATAGACTAAATATAAATATAAAAATCTCTACTTCCTTAGGAAAATAATTTTTTTTAAGTCCTCTTTGGCTAAATAGTAGCAAAGTCCTGTTTTTGTTATCGGTACCTCAACTTTGCAAATAATGTGGACATCAGGAATCCAGCATTGGCTTTCCTTTGGTGGCCATTTAAACAACCGTGCAGGACCATTAGGACACATAAATTTTACAAGCACATCTTTTTCTTCTAAATTAATATCTTCAATGACTCCTATCCACCACTTTTGCTCATAGAAAACACAGGCATAATCACCTTGTACTAGGTTTACAGTTGCTATCTGGATATTTTTAAAGTCATGAATTAAAGCAAACTCTTCATCAACAATGCATAGCTTAGTGCCAACCTAAACAAAATAGTAACATATACAATTATTCCGTTTTATTTATCAAACATGTTTTATTAAATGCATAGATAGCAAATGCAGAGGAAATAAAATGAGGAAAGGAAATACAAACATTTTTGATAATGATTCTGCAAAAATCTAATATCTATTTGAGTTTATCAATAAAAGTTATGCGTGTATTTTAAAATATGGTAAAAGGTGTAATAAAAAAATAATAATTTACCTTTTGATGGCCAAGTGGTACAAATTAATGGTAACTATGTGTTCCAGGTATTGTATTAGCAGTATCTAATTGTTCTTAAAGAGCGGTTCTCACCAAAGTTAAATCTTCTGATAAAATATATATGAAATTTATGCCTTCAATGTTTTCATTGCAATATTTATACATTGTTTGTGGAGATAAAATATGATTACCCATATCTCTTTGCAAACTTGCTAGTGTTGCCAGACGTTTGACTGTACCACCTATCCCATCACAAGGTTGCATACTGTGACTAGTTGCAAAAAAGTGTCATTTAGCAGTAAAACGAAAATTGCAAAAACAAAGATTTAACATATTTTTGCAATTCTTATATTGAACTGCACACCCATCTGAAAAGTATTCAATATTTTTTATTTGAGACAAATTTGTTTTTATATCATTGCAAACAACCTCAATAATTTTATAAACCATGTTCACATTATGGATCATATCATCCGAAACAATACAATAGAATTTGTGCTTGAGAATGCCTTTTTTGAAATAAATAATCACTGGATGAAGTGTACATTGTAAATTTGTCCAATGAAAGCTTTGCACTTCATCCTGAACTACAAGTTTATAGTTTTCTGGATAATCACCTAGAAATAATGTTGTTGATTCATTCATATCTTCCTTTCTTGATCTCAGGTATAATGCTTGACTCTTTGCTAAATAGGAATGTGGTGCAAGTTTTTCCAGTTTTCTACATACTAGTTCAATGTATTCAAACACTGGCTCTTTATTATGTGTCAAGTTTGACCTATCTGTTGTTGTCCATTGATCAAATTCAATCTCATCATCATCTTCAAATTCTCTTTTCAAGTATATCATAAAGTTTTTCAACCAATGCATTCATAGTTGCTGGGCATTTTTCACATTTCCTCATCATACAGTCTTTATTAGTTATATCACAGACAATATAAGGTAACAATTTTTTGTATGTCACACCAAGAGGATGTAAAAGCAGTTTCAAATTCTGATGAATAGCACAGACGCATACAAAATATGTTCCTGAGGCACCAACAGTAATACACCATTTAGGTCTCAAGGTGCAAAACCTTGAAAATCCTATTTTTATTTCTGAGTTCTTGGTTTTAAAGGCAACAAAAAACTCCTTTAAATTACATAAGAACAAACGTTTTTGCATGTGGACATTTTTCTTCATGCTTACATAGTCCTTTTTAACAGGCATTATACAGCTATGTTTATGGTCTTTGTAAAAGGTCTTGACCAGTTGAACTGTTACATCAGGAAGAGCTTTTCCTAATTTAGGATTAGGCATGGTTAAAATACTTTTTTCTAATGTTAACTTACGTGCAGTTCAAGCTACATAGTTTGTTACATGCAATGTTTCAGATACCTTTTTTATTGACCAGTCTGTTGAAGCAAGTGTCGCAAATTGTACTTTTTTTGATGTTGATGTAGACTCTACAATTTTGTTAGTTAACAATACCATCATGTAATCAAACAAGTTTGCTTTTTCCATATACTCATTATTAAAACTTGACTGTTCTTCAAAACTTTCTTCTTATATATTAAGGGAAATGGCTACCTTTTTTTTAATGGAGGTTGTTAATGCTGTCAATTTTCGTTTACCTTCTCTGATTTTACCTGACTTGTGCAATCCTTTGACCTTAATTGGAGATACTCCGGCAGATGCAAAGTGTGTATCTACACTTTCTTTTTTATTTTGAATGGATTTTTCATTAACAATATCAAAATCTCCATCATTTTTATTTTCACTTATACTTTTTGATAAACATGTCATAACTTTACTTCGACAGGTTGGACACAGTTTTTTTCCAGGTATAAGATTTAAACCTATGGTTTCTGCTTCTAACACAGTATGCATTGTTATCACACTTAGATATGCTTAAAAAAAAAGTAATTACGTTGGTTAAATAACATTAATTATATATATTATGTAATGATATTATTATACAATTTGTTATATTAATAACTATAAAACATTGAACAAATCTTATTACCAAAAAAACTTATATGACTTATTAATAATGATATTACCTAATGAAGTATAAATATATAAATTTTTACCTCTACACACCTTTTGGTGACTCAGAAATGGATTACAGCAACTTTTCTGATTACCCTCATATCTTACAACTAACATATCATGATGGTGTGTGCATATATTAGTAATTTGTTCTTGTTTCAGATTTGTTCATTTTCCAAGTAGCTTACGATCATTGCTGTCAATATCTTCAATCAGATTTCTTTCTTGAGTATATGGTTGTTTATAACAAGCTCCATAATTATTTACAAAGCAGCAATTAATTTTGTTATCCATATAAAAATATAATGAGGAATCTCTGTCTAAACACTTAATACAAGAAATCTTAATGTCCCTAACAAGAAAAGTACACTTGAACACAAACATAATCATATCAATATGTATTTATAAAGAACATATTGCTTGAACAAGTAGCTATTAGTTTAATAGACATATTTTAAATGCCTAACTATCTACTAATTATTGTAAATTCTCCATTAACTACTTACAAAAAGTTGTGTAAAAGTAAAAGATAACTAAATATAATTTTATTTAGTTATGTAACTTAACATGGTAATGCTAATTAGACATTATTATATCATTTTATTACTTTTTTTATTGATGATAATAAATGTTTTATTACAACAATACAATCAACAACAAAAGTTACATAATGTTGTTAAATTTAATGACATGATATTATGTAATGAAAATGACATTATTATTATGTAATGAAAGTAAAAAGAAACAAATTTATAAAATGTTCAACTATGTTTTGTAATAACTTTGTAAATTTTTTACAAAGCTATTACAAACAAAAATAATTGTATTTGTATTCAAAATATATTTGCAAATTTTTTTTTTTTTTTGCAAAATATCTTTAGAAAAATTGAAAAACTAAAACATCAATAACTCCTTGATAAAACATAAGGCCAAATAAAAATTGGTTCGCAAAGTAGATATATGCTTAATATTTAAAATAACGAAAACCAAAACTTTTTTTCATCAGTCAGATTTTTTCTAGAACTATAGTTGTCAATGGCCTTTTTTATTGTCATTAATAAGTGCGTTTTGTGGATCTAAAAATAAACTATATTTTATTGTTTTGAGAGATATAAGTTTATGATTTTCAGATTTAGCAGGTTTTAAACTCCTTTGATACCAAGTTTTAGCTTCGCAACATTACTACAAGTTTGTTAAAAGGGTAATGGTAAATTGACATATTTCCTGCTTTATTCCCCCCCCCCCCTCTTTTTTCAGTCAAAAAATAACTAACTTCAAGTTGCTGTAAATCTTAAAGGGTTGAGAATTTTTTGAAAAAATTTTACAGTCTTTCCTAACTTATATCTTTAAACATTTGTGCCAAATTTCAGCGAATTTGGTGATGGAGGGTGCAACCCCTTGTTTTTTAAGAAATTTTTACCCTTTATCATCTAAAAATGTTATTGACCTTGTTTGTCTTAGCAACTGGCTAGGTGAGTAAATGTAAAGTCGGAAGAATGGATAAATGTCGTGAATGAATGGGTAAAGTTTTTTAAAGTTTTGACAAATTAAATGTTATTGCACTTTTTTTCATTCAGCAGAAAAAAAAGAATAAATTAAAAACACAATGCACAACTTTTGATTTCATTATTGATTTTTTCACAGATAATTGCGATTAATCGCAGAAAATTATGCGATTAATTTTGATTAAAATGTGTAATCGTTGACCAGCACCAAAGTTGTTATTTACTTTTTTTTTTGTAATTTAGAGTTGTTTTATTTTTGTCTTTACGTTTAGCGGTTAGTTTGTGTTGCATAGATTTTGTTTTCAAGTACTTATGCACATACTGTTGATAAATATTTTTGTATGTTTTAAATAATGTTTTGTGCAAATTTTGAAAATATTGATTTTATTTAATAGATTTTTTTAAATTTTATTTATTTAATATTATTTATTTAATTTTATTTATTAAATTGATTTAATGGTCCGAAATATAAAAAGTTAATTTTTTTAAAATGCGATCTGTTAATTAATTTTAAAATGCTATCTGTTGAAAGTTAATTAATTTTAAAATTTTATAACTTTAAAATTTAAGGAATTTTCAAATAATAAAAATTAAAAATTCTTTCTCACTTAAATTTTTTGAAAAATAAAGTAGCCACATGAAAAGACATTTTTAAGAACAGTGCCTGCACATTCAAGAGAAACGCCTTCAAAAGGAAAAAAATATTAAAATGAGGAAAAGCAGAAGATATCAAGGTTAGCCAATTTTTTTAAAACTAATACAACTGATTTCAATCAGTTAACAACCATAAAAGAAAATCCACAAGACATAGAAGGTTTTTTAGGCGTAATTGTAACTAAAAACATTAAAGGAATACAAGAATTTGAAATAAGAACCACCAAGAAAAACTGATTTCCACAATCAAAAGATGTAAAATTGTGGGAAAATGTAGCAGATAAGCAGTATCATATAAAATGTAGAATCAAATTTTTAACAAAAGTTTGCTCAAAGCTAAATGAGCGGTTCACAGTTGCAAGTATTAAATTTAGTGAAAACAATCTTATGAGTTACATTGTACATTGCTATGATCACTTCACTGCAAGTGAAGAGATCATGATTCTGCTGTTTTGAAACATAAAATTGACGGAGAAGGATAATTTCTAAAAGTTTTACTATCATCATGATTCTGCTGTTTTGTAACTTAGAATTGATGAAGGAGGGTTATTTCGGAATGTTTTACCCTCATCATGATTTAAGATGAAACTGAACTTTAGAGTTCAGAAAATATATTGTCAATATGTTTTCTGAACTAATCATATTGTTAAATGTCAAACTCGACATCAAAAACTACCATTGTCAACCAACGAATGCTCAAAACAAAATTTTAAAAATCCTCATAACTGATATATGCTAATTTCAATTTTTTTCTTGATCTCATCAAAGTTTAAAAAAAGTGTGCTCATGAAAAAAAACAAGTATAGAAGTTTATCGTCTCAGGTGGAGATTAAAGAATGATTAAAGCCTTTCAAAATGTTGTACATCTACCATAACTAGAGTTACTAATGTTGTACAACTACCATAACTAGAGTTATTAATCTTTAATGGTTTTAATCTTTCTGGGACAAAGGAATGGCCCCGCATATTTTACTACAGCCCCACTATGGTGGGAATTTCAATGGAATGATTGCATGAAGCTTTTGAGAAACTTAGACAAATTGTAAAAGCTTGCTGATACCACCATCTCCCTTCAGGCCAATCCCTTTTTAGAAATGCAATGTCAGCATGCTTTGGCACTCAACTGGATTCAGACTTTGCGTCAAAAGTTTCCAAATTCAGGGACGCTACATCAAACTCCCAACCTCCATCACACCAAAAGTAGATTAGCCGTTTTTCACCGTGTGCCACAAAGACAGAACTTGGTCTCTTTAGTGAACTCTTGGTTTTCAAACTGTGAGGAATCGTAACTACCTTCTTCATGGGTTTTCGATCAGAAAGTTTTAGTGCTTCTGAAATATTTCTAAACCCTTATTCCAATTAGAAAATTTAGTTTTTACGAATACATTTTTTAGTATCAGTAGTGACATATGTAGTTATATTACTTTCCTAAGTAAATATATTACCTTTTAGTATCTAGTATCAGTAGTGGCATAGCCAGCAGAAGATAAACTAGTAGGGTTAGTAGCAGGACCAACAAAAAATGAAATAGTAACCGTCAAAGATTAGACGGAAAGAAGTTAAATTAGTAGCAGTAGTTGTAGAGACAGCAAAAGCTGAAGCAGAAACAGTAATGGTGTAGCAAATAAAAACATTTTACTTGTTTAAGATATTTCCTTTCCACACCAGTTTTACTTTTAAAGTTAATGAAATAAAACATATAAACCATCGTTATGTAATGTTACTATAAGTATTGCAAATTTATTTTTGACTTCTAAACTAAGAAATGCATAAATAGCTTTAAATTGCTTTAAAATAGTTACAAAAATTTCAAGTGTTCAAGTTATTTAATCAGTGATATCTTTTATACTTATTTTATTTATTTGTATAATTTCATATGTATTTATTGCACTTATCAATCACATGTAGTATTTGTATCATTTCATATGTATTTATTGCACTTATCACATGTAGTATATCTTTATAATACCGCGGCTTTATAAAAATACATTACTTTATTCGCCATTACATGGAGACTACTTAGAGCTATATTTGAGTTACAGGGAAAAAATTTCTAAAAATCTTAAGGTGTATATATATATATATATATATATATATATATATATATATATATATATATATATATATATATATATATATATATATATATATATATATATAATGAAAAGGTATATATATATTTTTTTTTTATAGGCAGCGCCTGTCATATACATTCCAACGAATATTTGATATATGTTTGACATCAATAGATGCGTACCAACAAGGAGAGAACTTTTATCAGAGAAGAATTATAAGTTCTCACAAAATTGTTATTTATGTTGTTGTTTTTTTTATAATTTTTTTTTTTTCTTCAAGAAAATTATATTTGGTTTTTGTTTTTCTTTTTCTTTTCCTTTCCTTTTTTTTTTTTACTTTTTTCTTTACTTTTTTATAAAATTTAATGAATTGTAATGAAAATATTTATTTTTTTTGATTTTATTATTTTCCTCCTTTTCTTATTAACGCAAGAAAACTTTTAAAATTTTAACTTGGAAGTAACTTTTCTTTAAAATTATTATTTATAAACATCCGTAAGACTTTTTTTTTTTTCTTCGATATTATTTTATCCAAATTTTATAAAAATTTTCAAATTTAATAATGATTACAGCTTAAAAAAATTTTTTTTATAAATACATAATATTATGTTGACAACATACGAATTTGTTTTAATATTTCAATATTTTTGAATTATTCCAAACTAGAACACAACGTGAATCTAATATTAGCTCTCTTGTTCTTAAATATAATGAATTTGTTTCTATACGCAGTAAACGTTCTATAGCGGAACTTCAGTTAACGGTGGACCGCTCAATATGCCTATATAGGCATATTGAGCGGTCCATCGTAGTTTTTCTCATCGATTGCTTAGTGGACTATTAGTGGCAGCCGTCAAAAGTGGCTATCCGATTATTATCCACTACATCACATGTTGAAAGGTTATTGACTGGCCACTTATAGCGGATGCCGCTAGGGGTTCATTAGGTAACCATTGGTAACCATTAGGTAACCAATTAGCAAAATTCTGATGAACGTTTCAAAATACTTATACAGATTCACTACAAAATTGATCAGCGGTTCATAAAGCTGGTTTATTAATTTCAAAAGGATGCCTGGACAATTAGATGTCTAGACACCAATAATAAAACTAAATAAAATGATTTATATTAAAAAAAAACATTCATAAATTTCCATTTCTTTGTTACTTTTTTGGGTGAAAGTTGCTTGTACATAACTTTTCCGTCTAAGTAATGACATTTAGACAAGTCTTTTCACGGCGTAAATATTTGGCCAAAAATCTTCCAACGCAAATTGTTTGCATGACAATCAAAATTAGGTGTCGTGTAGACTAGAATATTTTAACGTTTGGTTCAGTCTACACTAAAATATGCATTTAAGTAACCAATGTTTATGGCTTAATTGGTCAAGAAGTGAATGTGTTAATATGTTAAAATATAAATTATATTTTTTTTCATGGAAGATTATAAGTATTCTTACACATTCTTCGTATTATTTAAATCATGATAAATAAGTCTACAAAAAGATGTTCGATAAACAACTATGTTACCTCATCTTTACACATACACGGCGTTAATTTTTGTTCAAAAATCTCCCGATTGCCAGTTTGTGCGTGATTTCACACTTACTGTCATAGTAAGTAGAAACTATGTAAAAATAACAACAAAATTTAAAAGGCCAATCAATATCGAAAGTTTTTGCGAGTGGTTTCTATCGGTACAGACATTTTGCGCTAAATTTGAATTTTATTTATAAGAAAACAAAGCGTATGTTTATGTACCTCATCCTACCATTTTTTAAATTATATCTTAAGATTATACTTTCACATTGATAACATAATATCAAATTGATATTTGCAGAAAAAGTTTTACAAAGTTGGACACTCCAATTATAATTGTACTTCTGAATAAAAATTAATTCTTAAAAAACCAAAAATCTATATGTAAAATAATTTATTAAACTTAAAATTTTGTAAAATACCAAAATTTAAATCCAAAAATTTCCAAAAATAATTTAAAGACATTATGAAATACAAGTAATCTGATTAGTAAATAAAATTAAGGGAAAATTCTTCTAAGAAAATGCTGCTATAAAGGTTTGTAGTTAAAGGTTCTTTTGATTTTGTTGCAAGAAAGTAAGTCGTCAAGTACAGCCTGCCAATACCTAAAAAACAAAAATATTTTTTTACAGGTAATATTTACAAAAACTAATAGAAACAAATTATTTTCATATTTTGAATATCTTATCTTTTTTATGAAGGTTATATGAAAATATCTTGAAATGATATAAATAAAATCCAAGTCTAAAAAACTATAATTTCTGAAATTGAGATGTAAACAAAATGCAAAAGGATTTTCAGAAATAAAATGAAACCAAAAAATTTGTTGCTTGTACATTTGTTTGTCAGCACAATTTTTTAAATAAAAAGCCATAAAACTGAGTAAACTTGCAAGTCATTACATCTCTGATACCTATTTTGAAATTCACAATACTTGAATCTTTTTGTGACATACAAATCCTGAGTCCTTTTAATACTATACAACCCTATTTAAATCATGACTTTATTTAGATAACCTTAACACAAACACAAAGGTTTTGAATAATCTTATACCTTACATTAGATTACTATAACCTCATACAAAGTATATCTAATACCTTTTATAAGATGTTTTTCAATTTTAAAAAACAAACTAAAAATTGTTTAGGTTTTTAAACATGCAACATATCCTTGAGGTTGCGATCGCGTCACAAAACCAGTTACCATCTTTGTAAGGGGAAAACATTAAACAAAACGCGTTAATAGCGCGTTTTGTTTAATAACTTAACCCGGCTTTAAAATGTAAACAATGAACAAAACACGCTAAAAACGACCTCAAGGATAAATGGATATTAATGAGTATAACTGAGATAAACACAGTTTTTAAAGATATACACCAACATTTGTATGAAAAATTAATAATATAAAACATTTACATCTGTAAAAAAAAAAAAACTTGTGAACACTTTAGTTCATTACTTATATAATCATAGTCATAAGAAATAGATAGTCTGGTCACTCGGGCCGTATTATTTGATTTTTCTAATATTCGTTAAAAACACTTGAAAACTGTAGAACGGCCAGGAACAGAGTGCACAAAATATGGAAACGGACATAGAGTTAAATAGCGAATTTGATATTGAAACACTATTTTTTTCTTTGGAGGACGATTTCCTCTTTCAAGACGAAAATTTTAATAAAGATTTAGACGCCTTGGTGTTGGAGTTGTCCATTGAACCAGTTAAAAGCACATTTTCTTGTACAATTTGCTCTGAGAAATGCATATCTCAAATAGGCCTTACAAGGCATACAAACTCACAGCATAAAGGTATTCCTTCGGACTTAACATTACAAAATCCTAAACCCCCTATTCTTCTTAGCGAGTTTAAAAGTCTGCTTGATAAAAGCATTACTACTTTAATTGACGACGAATGCTATCCTGATTTGTATAGAAACGAGTTGAGAATAAATCATGCAATGCTATTAGAAACTTCACAACAAACCCTATCTTTATTAGAGACAACAATAGCCAGTTTTCAAGCTAATGGTGATGCAGAAAAGTTTTATCCTCAATTTTACAAAGATATTAATTGTGATATTTTCATAAACTATCTAAGTAAAAAAACAACTAGACTTCTTGGATGTGAACTATGCAATCATGTTTTAGCGTTTCTTACAAACTCATTTTACAATAATTCTTTAATAAATTTAAATGATTTATCATTATTTGAACTTTCAGATCGAGATAAAGAAATAATCTTGTATTTAAGTGGCTATGTACTCAGTACATTTTATTGCAGAGTTCGGAGTTCACGGTTATGGCAGCAAAGGTTAAGCACAGACTGCCTTTCACTTCTTAATGCTGGTAAAATTTAAAATTTTTTAAAGAATCCTGAACCATCCACTGAGTTTTACCATAAATTTGTAAATGCAAAAAATCGCGGTGGTTTGTGGAAAGTGTCTCCTCCAGTTTTAGAGATCTTTACCAAAGTCGAGGTTCTCTTTCGCCAACAAAGTAATGGTTTTGTAAAAAAAATTGATTCAGAACTGATTGTAACAGAAATTTTAAAAAACAATGTTGTTATGGCAAGCATATCTGAACTTCGTAGTCTTTGCACAAATCAAGTATCCAAAGAACTGTCTTTAAACTTGTTTTATCATCTAGTTACACTTTATGTTAGAGTAAGATCTTTTTCATATGCAAAAGAAAAACTAAGTATCCACAAACTTAAAGAAAATCAAACAAAGTCAAAATCACTCCGTTCAAAAATGAAAATAACATCTATTGGATTCGAATAAATAGTTTAATGAAATATCACATTCAAAAACTGCTATTTTCATAGCAACAAATTTCATAAAAACATAATTGGCATAGTAACTCTGTTATTTATTTTTCATAAAAAATATTTTTTTATGAAAAATAAATAACAGAGTTACTATGCCAATTATGCTTTTTAGTAACAGAGTTACTAAACCCCAAAGGACTCTTATGAAATAGTAGTACAAAATTATAATATACACATAATAGTTTTAAATTTATAATAAACAAAAACTTTCATGTTAACTTTCTGCTCTGACTGACTCATAGACTCCTGATATAATATATATAATTTTATTGTGATACTATCGCTAGTGATACTACCTCCTACCTCGGTTTGAACAACCTACAACAAATGCTATATATATATATATATATATATATATATATATATATATATATATATATATATATATATATATATATATATATATATATATATATATATATATATATATATATATATATATATATATATATACATATATATATGTGTGTGTGTGTGTGTGTGTGTGTGTGTGTGTGTGTGTGTGTGTGTGTGTGTGTGTATGTGTGTGTGTGTTTATTTAGTGTGTATATTTGTGCCAGATTTATATATGTCCCCTAAAAGAAAAAAACAGTATCCTAGTTGGCCTATTAAATCTTACCCAAATGTCAAAATTCTAGTCATCTCTTGTATTAATCAGATTATATCTGAGATTATATATAAAATGGGCCTCTCCCAGCTCAACTGGGTCAAGATTATGACACCATACATCTAAATAAATAGGTGCAAAGTAAAAGTCTTTTTTGTTATTCTTACTTATTCATGTGTTCCAGATTTATTTGTGTGCAAATAATTTTTTTTTGGGGGTGGGGGTAATAAGCATATCTTCTAACTTAAAAACAAAGTTCTTGATTTTTATATTTGACATCTAGATCCAAATTTGTCAACTTGTTGGCTACAAATCTAGATGGGGTGGGAGGAGGGGGTATTATAACTTATAATAGCCCTGCCTCTACAC